CCCCCCCCCCCCCCCCCCCCCCCCCCCCCCCCCCCCCCCCCCCCCAGCCAAGGAAGAATGAACTTGCCAGGAGTGAGGACAGGTGTGTGCGACCTTGGGGGGTGGGGTGTTCTTGGATCTTATGGAGGGGGGGGTGCTCCAGAAAAATGAGCAAGCTGGTCACCTGCATACTTATGCCTGGCATTGACAACTTGGGGGCAAGGAAAGCAGGAAGGGGAGGAAACCAAAGGGTCAGCTACAGGGCTACCCTGGGCCTGAGCAAGGTGTTAGCAATGAGGTCAGGCCAAGGTCAGTCATTTCTGGGCAGGGAGGTCCCTACAAAGGGCTTCCCTCCACCCCCATAGTAGCTTTGGTCTTCCTAGGGGGAAGGAGGGGATGTTTCCTCAGCCCCTCAGGTGGGAAGGACCTGCGGTGGGCACCCTGCCTTTCTACACAGACCCCCTACTTCACTTGCCTGGGTTGGGCTCTTACCAACCCCATTTGGCAGTTGAAGAAGCCGAGGTGCTGAATAGAGAGGTCACTTGCCCACAGCTGCCAGAGAGAAACCCAGCTGAGTCCTGGTGTTTCTGGACCCACAGCGCCTATGATCTGATTCCTCCTGGGATGCAAGGAGAAAAATAAATTGTGGATAAGATGACCTCCCGCAGTTAAGGGATATCAGCTGGGTGTGACACACACACACACACACACACACAAGGGAGGAAACCCAAAGAACCCACCAGACCCTGCACGATACTTCCACCGGCTCCTCTGTCCCCACAGACCCCCAAGACCCTGCGCTGCTGCAGGGGGCCTCCTGACTCGTTCACTGGCCACCACCCCTCCCTGGGGGGGAAGGAGCCTGGCACTGCATCAGAGCCTGGGAAGGTCATCCAGGGGAAGAGGCCTTGGACGGGGCTAGTGTTAGGGATGGGAGGTGAGGGGAACAGGGACGGCGGTGGGCAGCGACCCTGCCCGGTGCCCTACCCCTTTCTTCAGCCACTCTGACTCTCAAGAGTTCAGCCGGCCAGCTTCCAGCCTTCAGAGAGGGAGAACCGAAAAGGACAGGAAGGCGAGCCGCCCTGCTCAGGCCAGGGGGTCACTCAGTCCTCCACCACACATTTCCTTTTGGGGTCAGTGCAAGCCGGGATCCGGAGACGAAAGCTGACATCCCGCCCCGGGGCTCAGCCGAAGGGGAGGGGGTCTCCACCCGGTGGCCAGGATCCCACCTCTACCCTCGCTGGAAGGCTGGGTCTGGTCGCTTCACTTCTCGGAGCTCAATGTCCTTATCTGTAAAGTGGGAGAGGAAGAGGGTCGTTCTGAGGAGTGAGCGAGACTAAGGGGCGCAGCCAGAGCAGGACGAAGCGCTAGCTACACGTTGGCTATTAGTATTAAATGCAACGATGGCGGCGGTGTGGGCGGCGAAAGGGAAGGAGGGGGGCCGTGGGGTCCAGCCCGGGACAGGGTGGTGGTGGTGGTGGTAGAGGTCTTGGTGGAGGGAGTCCCAGCCCGGGGCCACCTCCTGTCTCCCCTGGCGCGGGGCACACAGCTGGCGCGCCTCCGGGCCGGCGCCGCTCTACCGCCTGGCCTCCCCGGCGCGGGGCCTCTCCCCTCCCCGCCTCCCCCCTCCAACCTACCCCGCCCTGGGCCTGGAGGACGTGCGCCGTGCTCGCACCACGCGGCTGGACGGGACAGGACGCGCCCGCTCCGCCCCGCCACCGAGGCCCGCGGGGGAAGGAAGTGCTGAGGCGTGTTTGTCAAGGCTTGGCGTTATTATTATTTTTAAAATAGTGAACGCAAAATAGCAAGGACGAATGGAAAGAACTTCATAAACAGGAAACACACACACACACACACACACACACACACACACACACACACAACCGTAGACCTCACGGCGCAGAACACGGGAGTTTCCCTCGTGAAGAATCCGCGCGGAAACGCGGCTCCCGGCCAGCTAGTGTCTCTGTACACCCCAAATGAAACGGGTGTTTACAATCGTCCAGTTGGTGTCTGTGCACTCCCACGGTCAGAAGTTTGGCCCGCAGGGATTGAGCGCCCACTGTGTCCGGGCACCGCGTGAGCCCCCCGCCCCAATAATCACAGAATGGCCGGCGTGGAGAGTAGAGGAAGGGTCTAGGAAGGCCTCTTGGAGAAGGTGGCATTTCATCGAGGTCAGTGGGATTTGGCTCCAAGAAGGAGCTGGAAACTCTTCCAGGCAGAGGGAGCAGCGCAGTCGAGAGCCCTGAGGCACTTGGTGCCCTGCCGAGGGCACCAGATGGGGCTACCGGGCGAGATCGGCAGGGGGCATTCTGGGGCTGGGAGTAGTAATTTTCACGCCCTACGGATCCGGCTACCTGGCCTGCAACTGCGATGAGTGTTGACAGTCACAGTCCGGTCAAGAGCACAATTCTACGGATGTACACAGCCGTTTGGAGCTGAGAGAGAGCCTTCACTCGCTCAGAACTTTACCGCGAGGGGGCCCCCGCAACCACTGAAGACCCATTTTGCAGACCAGAGAGCGTTATTCCCGTTTCCCAGATGAGGAAATCAAGAAGCGGCTAGCGTCTGGCTCTCGAAAAGCGCCGAGGTGGAGCCGCGCCGCCCTCGGGCACTCCCCGGCGTGGGCGCTCCGGGCGGGTGGGGCGGGCCCTGGCTCGGGGCGCTCGGCTGTCTGGAACAGTGGGCCGGGTGCCGGTCCTGCCACGCAGCCGCAGAGGCTCGGGCCCGCGGGCGGGCGGCAGGAAGAGAGGCGACGCCCCCTGGAGCGCGGCAGGAACCCGGCCGGGCCCGCCTCCCAGCCAGCAGAGCCGCGCCGGCCCCAGCGGTGATGAAAGCGGCGGCCGAGTCCAGGTCACGCCGAAGCCGTTGCCCTTTTAAGGGGGAGCCTTGAAACAGCGCCCGGGTTCCATGTTTGCATCCGCCTCGCGGGGAGGAAACTCCATGTTGTAACAAAGTTTCCTCCGCGCCCCCTCCCTCCCCCTCCCCCTTAGAACCTGGCTCCCCTCCCCTCCGAAGCTCGCGGGGATCCCTCCCTCCCACCCCTCCCCTCCCCCCCGCGCCCCGATTCCGGCCCGAGCCGGGGGGGAGGCCGGGCGCCCGGGCCAGAGTCCGGCCGGAGCGGAGCGCGCCCGGCCCCATGGACAGCTCGGCCGTCATTACTCAGATCACCAAGGAGGAGGCGCGGGGCCCGCTACGGGGCAAAGGTACTGGGGCCGCGCGGAGGGGGCTGCAGCCCGGGAGCCGCGGGAGTGGAGGAGAAGGAGGCCGAGACCCTACCCGGGGCAGTCGCCGCCGCTGCCCCGGGCGCCCGCCTCTGCGGAGCTCTGAGCTCCTAACCGGAGAGGGAGCGGGGAAAGAGTTTGAACTAGCCGAGGCTCAGAGACGCGGGGCGGGGCCTGGAGCCATTGGGGCGCTCCCGAGTGCTCGAGGTGGGGAAACTGAGGCAGAGGTAGAGAGTGGATTCCTTCCTAGTCTCCTGGGCTGGCGTAGCGGGTTGCCCGACAGTCGCCCCCTCCCCCCCCCCCCCATTGGCGCCAATGAAGCTGGGAGATGGGGGGTTGAAGAGGGCGCCTTCAGGCCACCCTCTGAGGCTCCGCCCCGGGCCGCGATCGCCCGGGTCGGGTCGCCGGAGGGGGTGCCGAGGTGACAGCGGGCTCGGGAGGGTTGGAAGGATCTCCCGCCAATACACAGCTACGATCCCAACAAACTTCCGCGTCATGCGTGGAAGCACTGAGCCTCTCAGAGGCATAGAGTGGGGCAGCCACTTCTAAGGGTCGCTAGCGCGCTCGCGGGGTGTCCCGTACGACGGGCGGGGCACAAGGAGCCCGGGCTGCAGGCCCTTTGGCGCCGGGCCTGTGCACACACGCACCGACCCGGTAAGCCGTGCCGCCCGCCTCCACCGGGCGCCCAGGAGCTGGAGGGTCTAGGCTGGGGGTCTGGCCCTCCCTGTCGGGGTGTTGACCTTAGAGACTAGGAAGTCCCTCCGGGTCTGCCCAGCTCTGGCCTGGTCCTAGCTCAGCCCGAAGGCAGGGGGCCCGGTAGAGGGGCGGTGGAGGGTGGGCCCGTCAATCAGGCGGCGGATGCCCAGCTCTAGGTCGGAGGTCTGGGCGGGGCGAGGGCGGAGGAGGCGGGGCCGGCAGATGGCTGCGGGACACTGGTTCCAGCCAGGCTCCCCCACTCCCAGCCTCGGGGCCTAGCCTTAGTGAGGACTTTGGACCCACGTGGGCGGAAAGGATGGGAGGAAGGCGGGAGTGGATGGCAGGGCCTCAAGCCGCAGCTCTCATTGGTTAGGGGCCGACGGAGCAGGGGCTGCTCGGGTAGGTGGGTGTCAGGAAGCCCCCCACTGGGGCCGAATCCTCAGCAGTGATGAAGGCTGGGAGGAAAAGAGAAAGCACTCTCCGTAGTCCCCTTCCAGCCAGCCCACTTCCTAATGAGGGTAACTTTGTGCCCACACTAGGAGGATTTCTGGGTACCACAGGGTGACGTGGAGTCAAGGCTGTCAGGAGGGCCTGGAGTGTATCTCCTTCAACGAAGGGGGCGTGGCCAGACCCTCTCACCCAGGGGATCGCACCTGGGCACCTACACCCAACTCTGCAGGCTAGAGTGCACACCCCCACCTTGGGCCTCCCTGCTGCAGGTGACCAGAAGTCAGCAGCTTCTCAGAAGCCCCGGAGCCGGGGCATCCTCCACTCGCTCTTCTGCTGCGTCTGCCGGGACGATGGGGACGCCCTGCCCGCCCACAGTGGGGCGCCCCTGCTGGTGGAGGAGAACGGCGCTGTCCCCAAGGTGCGTGGTGGCCGGGTGGGAGCTGCCGGGGCAGCCTGGGCTCAGCCTGGAGGATGTTTAGGAAAAGGGGCTTTTCATGACCCATCTGCAGGCCTTGGAAGGTATGGAAGAGGGTGGAGCCCCCCACCAGGCCCGCCACCCTCCCTCTCAGGTCCCTCCCAGCCGGTCCCTGAATGCCCCAAGACTGCCACCCAAGGGAACTCTATAAGGTGGGAGCTTTCTCTACCTTGGTGTTCCAGGTGGGGAAGTGAGGTCCAGAGCCAGGCGGCCTGCCCCAGGCTCCAGTTGGCAGGGGCAAAGCTGGGAAGGGGAGGGTCTCTCCCCACTCTCCCTGTGCTTCCCCAGGTAGAGGGCTGGGAGAGGGAAGACGTGCTTAGGAGAAATGACTGGGTTTTAAGAGAATTTAAAAGAAGTGCCCCCGATGACCTCATCTGTCCCTGCAGCAGACCCCAGTCCAGTACCTGCTCCCAGAGGCCAAGGCCCAGGACGTGGACAAGATCTGTGTGGTCATCGACCTGGATGAGACCCTGGTGCACAGCTCCTTCAAGGTAGGCCCTGCCCAGCAGCCCTCAGCCCCGGGTCTCTGAGGGGGCCTGCCCTGGACTGGGGGTATGGTCTCTGCGGGCCCCGCCCCAGCAGCTCCTTTTCCCCCCCACAGCCAGTGAACAACGCCGACTTCATCATCCCTGTGGAGATTGATGGGGTGGTCCACCAGGTGAGGGGCTGGGTGTGGGGGGGAGGTGGGGGGCTTGGCATCTGCCTTCCAGACCCTAGGCTCCTCGTGCCAATCCTGAGAACCCCAGGTGGGACTTTGATAGATGTGCGATGTGAGGCCCCAGAGGGTGTGAGACTTGCCCGAGGTCGCACGGACCCTGAGGGACTTGGCCCAACTCCAAGGCCTGCAGGGAGTGGGGTTCCTCCTCGGCTCCCCCTTGCCCCACCTTGCCCGGGACCCAGTTCAAGTAATTCAGGATAGGTTGTGTGCTGTCCAGCCTGTTCTCCATTACTTGGCTCGGGGGTCGGTGCCCTGCAGCCTTGGGGTGAGGGGGCTGCCCCCAGGCCCCTACATTTGGCTGAAGCCATAGTTGGGGAAGGGCTGGGCATTAGTGATGCCCCGTGAGGTAGGATGTGAAGCTAGAAGTTGGAGGTTCATTTTGATCCTCTTCTGGAAGGATAGCTGGAGTGGCTGGCTGGCCAAATGGAGCCTGCAGACCCTGGGACCGGCCTCCCTCCTGTGCACCTCTACTCTTCCGTTTGCTCCCTCATGGCCCTCAGCCACCCTCCCACCCCCACCCCCCGGCCTTGCAGGCCTGCAGTTCCCTTACTGGCCCACCCCCTAGGTCTACGTGCTGAAGCGGCCCCATGTGGATGAGTTCCTGCAGCGAATGGGCGAGCTCTTTGAGTGTGTGCTGTTCACCGCCAGCCTTGCCAAGGTGAGTCCTGTCCCCCCCACACTGAAGGGCTCCTGGGGCCACCAGCCTCCCATGAGCCTCCAGCCTGCAGCTGGATTGACCTCTGGGTCACTCACCATTGGCCCTGGATGACCCATCTTCCACTCCGTAGTATGCAGACCCAGTAGCTGATCTACTGGACAAGTGGGGGGCCTTCCGGGCGCGGCTGTTTCGTGAGTCCTGCGTCTTCCACCGGGGCAATTACGTGAAGGACCTGAGCCGGCTGGGCCGAGACCTGCGGCGGGTGCTCATCCTAGACAACTCGCCCGCCTCCTACGTCTTCCATCCAGACAATGCCGTGAGTGCCGGGCAGGACCACGTTAGGGGCTGAGAGCCAAGGAAAGGGTCAGCCATCAGGACCACCGGGGCCTCCCCATTCCCATGCTGGGTGCTGTCCGGGGACTGGTGCCCTCCCATTCCTCCTTCCTGCCCTTGATGACCTGTGCCTGCCACCCACTCACCTCATCCACCTGCTACTGCATCCCTTAGTGACCATTTGATCCGTTTGCTTGTGCGAAGCGAGTGCCTGGCCGGGCCTGAGGCCCCCGCTGCATGCTGGAGCAGTTTCACACTGCTGGCTGTGACCTGTGAGTGGGTCACAGAGGTGATGCGGTGGGTCCTAGCTGGGAATTTTTAAAAAAAATTTTTTTTTTCAACGTTTTTTATTTATTTTTGGGACAGAGAGAGACAGAGCATGAACGGGGGAGGGGCAGAGAGAGAGGGAGACACAGAATCGGAAACAGGCTCCAGGCTCCGAGCCATCAGCCCAGAGCCTGACGCGAGGCTCAAACTCACAGACCGTGAGATCGTGACCTGGCTGAAGTCGGACGCTTAACCAACTGCGCCACCCAGGCGCCCCATAGCTGGGAATTTTTAAGAAACAAAATAGAATAGAAAATATTGGAGTGTTTTGCAAACAGTAAGATTAAGTATCATTTCATAAGACTTGTATCGCATGCATAGATGTGATTTACTGTGGGTGTTGCCAGAAATGTTTGAAAACTGAGGGTAAGGGCCTTCTGGGTGGACATCCTGTGCCCAGAGGCCCCGGCCCCCCTCACTGCCCCACATCCATCTGCCCAGGTACCAGTGGCTTCCTGGTTTGACAACATGAGTGACACAGAGCTCCACGACCTCCTGCCCTTCTTCGAGCAGCTCAGCCGCGTGGATGACGTGTACTCAGTGCTCAGGCAGCCAAGGCCCGGCAGCTAGTGAGGCGCCCCGGGGGCCAGGACCTGCCCCTGACCGGTGCCCACGCCCCTCACACGTGGACTGTTCCTTAAGAAAACCCAGCGGCCACTGCCGCCACCTCAGCGTCATGGGGAAGTGGGCCCTCCCCACCTGCCTGGCCAGGCTGTGAAAGGGGCAGCGGGCTGCACCAAGGGCAATGAGCCCCTGGGTCCCTGTGTCAGTGCCTTAGAACCTCCTCCTTCTTCTTGGGGGACCTGTGGGACCCTGCGTGCAGCTCCCCCTTTTTCTCTCTCTCTGCTGCCATGTTTCTCTGCTGCCAAATCGGGCCCCTTGGCTCTTTCTGGTTCTGCTTGGGGGAGGGGCAGGGTTCTTGCTGCCCCATGCCTTGGGCCCCCAGCCTGGGAACAGTGGACACCAAGTGCCTTGCATAGAGCCCTTTTCCCTGCCCTGTTTTCCCAGGGCCACGATCAGGTCAGCTCTTGCCCGGAACAGTCTCCAGATTGCTGTAGTCTAGCCTGGCAGGGGAGGAACCAGTCTCCGCACCTCCTCCCTTGGGACTGACACAGACCCCCACCAATCTCTGCCTAGGAGGGCAGGGAGGGAAGATCTGTTACCACTTGTGAAGGGAGCAGGGTGCGTCCTACGGGACCCTGGAGTCCAGCTTCTCTAGGCTCAGCAGCAGCTGAAGGCTGCTCTCCACGCCAAGACCTGACCCCTCACATCTGCCTTGACCACCCCAAGGCCCTGGGGCTTGGCTCCCCCAGCTCCTAGTGTGGGGGCATAGGCAAGACCCCTTTGTGGTGCCATATAAATATGTATATGTGTATATAGTTTTAGGGGAAGGGGAGAGGGAAGGGCTGGGGTAGAGATACCCCTCCTTCACCCCTTTCCTGGACCCATAAACTGGGGGGAGGGAGGGAAAGGATTTTTACATTTTTTAAACTGCTATTTTCTGAATGAAACAGGCTGGGCCAAGAAGTCCCAAGCCCTGTCTTCTGTCCCTCACACCCTCTTTGCTCCAATTATTCATTCAAAACACATTATTAGCACCTTCTCTGTGCCCAGCTCTGTGCTAGGCCCACCAGCTGAGTGTGTGGGGTCCCTGCACCTAATCAGTGCCTCCCCACCCACTCCATACTTCACCGGTGCCTTTAGGGGAGCTGTAGGAGGTGGGACCCTTCTTGTGGGGTTTGGGGGTCTCCAGGAAGCCTGGCCAAGCTGTCTCCCCTCCCCAGTGCCAACCCATCCCCTGTCGATCCCAGCCTCACCCCCTGCTGGCTGGGGGCAGCTCCCAGGACATCCTGATTTCCAGCTCTGACTTCTCTATCTGGAACCCCTTCCCCCTAAATGCTGAGTGTGGAGGTCAAGGCCTTGGGCTCTCCCCAAGGCCTAACGGTTAAGGGTCGGTTAAGGGGACCCACGTAGCAGTGCCAAGGGGGATGTCAAATGGAGATGTCATTGCCCCCCTCCCCTCAGAACTGGGGGTGGGAGGGAGGACAAGGTTGGCCTGAATCGCGTGACCTTCCCATTTAAGTGCCTTCTCTGACTGAAAGCCCCACACTATGACAAGAACTAAAGAGAACGCCAGACCCGCATCCCGCTTCTGTGGTCTTTGGGGGGACGTTGAAGCTGGGAGTGGTTGTGTCCCGTGAAGCCACACTCAATTCAGTGTATCTTTTGGCGGTGGAGTGGGTGGAGGGAGGGGCTGCCCTAGGTTTCGGGGGGCTTCAAGAGTGCAAGTGCAAGGTTAGTGCACAGCGGTGGGTGGATCCGAGCGCCTCGCTGTACTGTTTAATTATTCTACCTCTCTTAGTCTCAGTTACCTGACCTGCATAATGGAGAAATGCCCTCTTTGCAAGTTGGTAAATGCCTGCACGCGGAGGACTCGGTAGTATTAGCGGTAAAGCTGAGCAGCGTCCTTGGGGGAGGCCCCTGGAAGGTATTTGGAGGCGGGAGGGGTGTGGTCTCCGTCTCGGGGCGGATGGGAGGGGCTCCTGCGGCCCCAGAGCGGGGGGGGGGGGGGGGGGGGGGGGGGCGGGTTCCTGGTAAGCCAAGTTCATCTCCAAACGGAAGAACTTTGGCCTTGGCTGAGGCGGGCCTCCGAGGCGTCGGGAGGGAGGGGCGGGCGGCCGGAGGCGTCAAGGTCTCTGGAGAGACGGTGGGCCTGGCACTCGGTCTCTTGGACCTCCGCACCGCCTTCCCCTACCCGCCCCTCGGCGGCCTCTCAGCACCTACTAGCCGCGCCCTTGCACGAGCCTCCGGCCCACTTCCTGCCTCCGCCCCTCCGGCCTTGGCAGCACTTCCTTTGCAAAACTGGGCAGCCCCAGGCCCTGGCAGGAAGTGCCCTCCCGGCCCGCCCTCTCCTGCTTCCCACGGCGGCCACTAGAGGCCTCTCTGGCCTCGCGGACGCCAACCTGCCCCCTCCCCCACCCCGGGGACTGAAAGGGTGGGGGCCCCCCATCTCCCTGGGGTGGGGCAGCCTTCCCCCTAACACACACAGACACACTGCCCCTCCCAAAGTTGGTCCCTGGCCCCCCAGCTCTGCCTACCCTATCCCCTCACCCCACTCATCCCCATACCTTGTGAATCCAGCCTCAAGTGGACCTTCTCCAGCCCCAGATGCTGATCTGTCCCCGAAGTCTCAGGGGGACCTGCAGTGTGTGAGATAGCTCCCTCCCATCCCTCTTCCCAGATGGCGCAGGAAGCGAAGCCCAGAGCTCCGTCAGCAACACCAGCTCCACTCTGAGCTGGAGCCCACTCTGGCAGGGTAAATACCCAGCCCTCCCTGCCTCTGCCCTCCTCCTCCCCAGGGCACTGCCTGATTTCCTGCTCTCCCAGTAAGCACCGGGTCCCCCACCCCCACCCCCAAGATTTGCATCCCAGGGGCCTTGACAGCCAGAGAGTCACCCAGGCTCCCAGCTTTGAATGAGACCACAGTCAGCCTCTCCCCACCACCACCACCTACACAGCTTCACCCACATAGAGTTCAACTCAACCACATGTATCCGCATTTCCAGGGTGCCAGGCACGGTGCCAGGGCCCAGGGACACCCCATGACTGGGCCATGCTTCTGCTCTCAAGGAACTCACACCCTAGTGCAGAGAAAGACACCTGAGCAGGCTAAAACCTGAAAGCCTGCAGGTGCACTGAGACAGAGACAGAACACAGAAGGCGGGGGGGCACAGGGGACACTTCACCCCTCCTGGGTTGGTCTGGGAGGTTTGGAAAATGCTTCCTGCTGGCTTGCATCTCAGAGGAGTTTGGGAAGGTGGAGCAAGTCAGGTAAAGGTGGCCTAAGCAAGGAGGTGCACCCGGGAAGGAAGCAGAAGCATCAGGGGCCTGCCACGGTAGGGAGTGTGGGAAATGACCATTTGGGATGGCCCACAAGGGAGGAAGGACAGGAAACGAAGCTGCAGAAAGCAGAAGAGGCCACATATTGCAGATCTTTGGGCAGTCCAAGGGAGTGGCTTTTTTCTTGCAGGCCCTGGGTGTCATTGAGGAACACTGAACGGGAGGGCACAGTGCTCAAAGCCAGCAGGTGTACTTTAGAACCTAAACCAGGAGTACGGAGGAGACCGGACAGGGAGACCACAGTCATGGTCCTGAACATGGAGGGTGAAAGCCTGAACTGAGGCAGAGGCGGAACAAAGCAAGAAGAGGATAGAAGGGATGGATGTGAGAGAGGAGAGAAACTTGGTGGGAAGCTATGGCTGGCTGGCTTTGGGGGTGGGGGCAAGGATGGCCTGGAGGGAAGAAGGCTTTGGAGATGTCAGCTGTGAAAATGTATCTAATGGAGCCTGGTATGGGCAGATATTCACTATTTGCTTGTTACACACACAGGAGTAGAGGGTGTAGGGCAACAGGCACCAGATAAAACGCTGCTGGCAGGGGTGTGAGCTGGTGCAACCCATTCAGAGAGTGATTTGACTATCAACATTATTTTTTTAATGTTTTATTTATTTTTGAGAGACGGAGCACAAGAAGGGGAGGAGCAGAGAGAGAGGGGGCAGAGGATCTGAAGCAGGCTCCTCACTGTCAGCAGAGAGCTCCATGAGGAGCTCGAACTCACAAACCATGAGATCATGACCTGCACCAAAGTCGATCACTCAACCAAATGAGCCACCAGGCGCCCCTTAAAATTATTTTTTAAATGCAGATACTCTGATCCAGCAATTCCACTTTTAGGAATTTATGCTGTATATAGAATATATGAACATACAGGTGTTAATTGCATCCTTGTTTGTAATAGCAAAACACTTGAAATAACCTAAGTGTCCATCAGTGAGGGACTGGTTAAATATTGCTCTATCACAGAGAACACCATGCAGCCTTGAAAAACAATAAGTTGGAACTACTCAAGCAGATATAGGATGATCTCCAAGACAGACAGCCAGTAAATGAAACTATTAAAATCGAGTTCTAACAATGGTGATCGTGTATTCCCACAAAGCAGATGTATAAAAACAGACACAAACATATGCGTACTTTGGGAATGCAAGCTGGTGCAGCCGCTCTGGAAAACAGTATGGTGGTTCCTAAAAAACTAAAAATAGAGCCACCCTACGACCCAGCAATTGCACTACTAGGCATTTATCCATGGGATACAGGTGTCCTTTTCGAAGGGACACACGCACCCCCATGTTTATAGCAGCACTATCAACAATAGCCAAAGTATGGAAAGAGCCCAAATGTCCATCGATGGATGAATGGATACAGAAAATGTGGTAGGGCACCTGGGTGGCTTAGTCGGTTAAGTGTCCGACTTCAGCTCAGGTCATGATCTCGCGGTCCATGAGTTCAGGCCCCACGTTGGGCTCTGTGCTGCCAGTTCAGAACCTGGTCCCTGCTTCAGATTCTGTGTCTCCCCCTCTCTCTGCCCCTCCCCTGCTCATGCTCTATTTCTCTCTGTCTCAAAAATAAAGCATTAAAAAAGTGTTTTTAAAAATGTGGTACACACACTCACATATATATATATATACACACAATGGAGTATATATGTGTTGTGTATACACACACACACACACACACACACAATGGAGTATTACTTGGCAATCAAAAAGAATGAAATCTTGCCATTTGCAACTACATGGATGGAACTGGAGGGTATTATGCTAAGGGAAATTAGTCAGAGAAAGACAAAAACAATATGACTTCACTCATATGAGGACTTTAAGAGACAAAACAGATGAGCATAAGGGAAGGGAAACAAAAGTAATATAAAAACAGGGAGGGGGACAAAACAGAAGAGACTCATAAATATGGAGAACAAACTGAGGGTTGCTGGAAGGGTTGTGGGAGGGGGTATGGGCTAAATGGGTGAGGGGCATTAAGGAATCTACTCCTGAAATCATTGTTGCACTATATGCTAACTAATTTGGATGTAAATTTTTAAAAATAATAAAAAAATTTTTGATAAAATAAATAAATAAAAGTTCTTTTTTGAAATAAACCATTTTGAGCCTTAAAAAAAAATATGCATACTTTCTTGCACTTTTTTTTTTTTAATTTTTTTTTCAACGTTTATTTTATTTTTGGGACAGAGAGAGACAGAGCATGAACAGGGGAGGGGCAGAGAGAGAGGGAGACACAGAATTGGAAACAGGCTCTGAGCCATCAGCCCAGAGCCCGAAGCGGGGCTCGAACTCACGGACCGCGAGATCGTGACCTGGCCGAAGTCGGACGCCTAACCGACTGCGCCACCCAGGCGCCCCACTTTCTTGCACTTTCTTATCCTCCAGTCGGGTACACAAGAAATGAGAGCTGCTGCTGGTCCAGGGGAGCAGGGCTGGGGGACTGGGTGGAAGTCATCTAAGAGGAGAGGGACACATTTTATTATACATCTGATTCGAATTATTTTACCAGGTATATTTATTAATTTTAAAAAATAAATTATTTTAAGGGTGCCTGGGTGGCCCAGTCGGCTGTCTGATTTTGGCTCAGGTCATGATCTTACTGTTGGTGAGTTCAACCCCCACATCAGGCTCTCTGCTGTCAGTGCAGACCCTGCTTCGAATCCAAATCCTCTGTCCCCCTTTCTCTTCTCTTCCCCCATTCATGCAAGGTCTCTCTCTCAAAAATAAACTTTAAAAAATTATTTTAAGAATTAAAAAATAAAACTCAGTTTAAAACTTAAAACACAGCTTCCTAAATATAATATCAAAGATAGAAATCATAAATTCCATTTCTTTCCTTCAACATTCATCACATGCCTACGGTGTACCAGGCGCTAGGATTCAACAGTGAGCACAACAGACACTGTGGGGAAATCAGACATTCAAAAAGTACAGAATTAATATTATAAAAGAAGAAGTAAAGGGGCGCCTGGGTGGCTCAGTCGGTCAAGCGTCTGACTTTTGATTTCAGCTCAGGATCCCAGGGTTGTAGGATCGATCCCCTGAGTAGAGACTGCTTGGGATTCTCTCTCTCCCTCTGCCCCTCTACCCCACTCTCTCTCAAAATAATAATAATAATAATAATAATAATAAAAGAAATAAAAAGTGGTAAATAAAGAAATAAAAATTTTTGTGCTTCTAATACCAAACTGTCACCCCAAGATGACTTCTCATTGCAAAGGAGGGAACGTGCCTTTACA